TGTGAAGGAAAATAAACGAGCTTTTTCCTAGCTCGTGTGTGACAGCCTTTGGAGGAATGGGGGCATGATGACTTCACAGAACTCTGTTGCGGTTGGTGTTACCGAGACGGCTCGTGGCTATTTGCAACCAAGTTAAATGAGACTGCCTTAGCTGAAAAGTGCTCCACATTGGCTCCAAAAGGATGTAGTAGATTGTTTACCACTTTTCCAAGAATTGTGTCATTTAAATTAATTATCATACAAAAATTGTGGATGAGAAAGGGTTTGGTGATTCTCTCTTACACAGTTATGTTTTAGGAACAGGCTAATAGTTGTGGGTCACTGATTTTCCCACCAGCCCGGCTCGGGAAAGCCCGGTTAGGATCCACACGGACTTCTAGCCGGAAAGATCCGGCAGGACAGAGGGAAAGGAGAGGTTTTGTGGGTGTGCGTTGGTGCACGCTCACCCGTCCGGCGCAGCCGTGGTGCGGTAACGCGCAGCGCGCCGAGCGCGCAGGGGCCACGTCACCACATTCAGAGAAGCTGTTGAAATTGAATGGGAAAAGGGCAGGAAATGAGCACCGTTGGGCTCTCGTAGTGTGATTCTGAGTTGTGTGGTCTCAGGCAGGATCCAGCACGGCCCAAAGAAGGCAGCACTACAGTGCAGTGGGGAGATACGTAGCGGTGAACGCGAGCGTGCGAATGAGGAAGGCTGGCTGACACCCATCGTGTGTGTTCTGTTCTGTGGGTCTTAAAGAGTTTGCTACGTGTTTACTGTTTATGCTGAAATTTTCTGTGGGGTGTCCGCTCAGCCTGGTCTTTAAAACCAAGTTTGACAACATAGATCAGTCATATCATAAAATGAGTACTATAGAAAAATAGGGGGAGAGAAATTAATAATTCTGGTTATAGAGCAGAGGTAAAAAGCTCGTAGCTCCTTGGGTAATTAGCATAGAATATAATAAGATGGTGACTTGTGTGTTCAGTGAATGTGATCCATCCTGAGAAATGGTCCCATGGGAAAAAAAAGAGTACGTGATCGTGTACATAAAGATGATTAAATAATACATACGCTCAAGAAGGAACTACATAGGTCCTCTTTTTAAAGGTCCTTTTATCCTTATTTCTGCCTCAGAGCATTTGGGTTCTTGAATTTCCAAAAATAACATTTAAAAAGTTGTAGACCTGATTATGCTCCGTGCTGTGGGGTTTGGCTGTAGCTGAGAGCTTTTGCCATTGCTTCCCGGTGACCTGAGCTGTGTGGAGGCTGCCTGGCCTGTGCAGCAGCAGTTGTGTCTTCGCAGGCCTTGGGCTGGGGCTTGACAGCCGGGGGGCTCATTTGGGATTTTAACCACGCTTCCTCGTCACTGTTCGCGTTCTGTGTGACTTACTTGTGCTGAAATGTGTCAAGTCAGCTAACAGATCGCCCCGATTTAAATGCCCAGTGTGTAGTTGCCCAACTAGCTGCTGTGGATGCCGGGAACGTCCCCAGCGCCGGCCCTGGATATCGCCCCGTGTGTGGCCGGGCTCGCAGCCCGCCCTGCCGCTTCCCTGCCCTGGGAAAAAGCAAATGACAACGCGCTGGCTATGGACGATGAGTATTGCAAAACCAGCACGCCCTGCACACTGTATGTTACTTCTTTAACCTAAGACTAAACATGCGCTAGCTGTGTGCCTTTCATGAAACAAGAAGCGAATGCGCTGAGGAAAAAGAGGAAGAGCATGAAAATAGTTCTTAAAGTGGAGTTTTATTTTGGTCAGGTTTTTCCTGGGATTTTCCTTTCCTCACATTTCGGGGACTTTTTGCCGATGAAACAGACCCTCTGTGTTTTTCATTTTGCTTCGATGTTGTTGTAGTCAGAGCGATTCTATCCCCCCGGCCACCTGGTTTCACAAAGGGGACGGGGAGCGGAGCGAATCCGCTGGTGCCCGCAGCTCGGGAGCTGCGCGGGGACTCGGAGCAGCCGGCCAC